TTTTACTACAGGAAATGTGCCAACAGTCATACTAAGAAAAAGAAGGCAAGAGAGAACAAGTCTCCTATAAAGACTTTCATCTATTTTTTTTACCATTTCAGCAGTTGTACCAGAAGATGCCTCTCTTAGCAAGGCTCTTAGTAAAAATGGCACAAATTAACCACAGACTTTCCCTTTGCAAAGTTCCATTTACCACCATCAGTAAACCATTTTTACAAAGGATGTTATAAATTACAAGTGAGGTATTCCATAGTGGATATAATGCCCTACTACAGCCAAAGGTCAGCACAGAGACAAGGTCTCAATCCACAACATAGTCTGTCACAGCATCTGTCTTCTCACATCTTATTGAGAGTTACCTCTGTTTTCTGTTGGGAATAGTGACCACATCTTCCTCCTCTTCCCTTCTTCTTCACTCTCCTACACCATCTTTTCTGGTGAGCTGGAAGGAAGGCTCCCTTCTTCTGGATTAAAAATCTAGCAACCACGTTGACTGCATCCTTGTGCTGCTGCTGCTGCTTTCCTGCTTCTTTTGAACCACACACCTGGAAAAAGGTGTTTATTATTTACAGTTAGTAAATCATGTGCAGATCGGACAGGGAATGGAAATTAGCGATTACCTTGGATGGGTCCAACCGCCGAATTCATTTTATATCCTTTCACATTTAAATACAAGAGCTGAACTGGCGGCGCCCAGGCTAGAGCCTGGGATGGACCGGACCATACACGGAAGAATTGTGACATCTTGTGGCAAAATGGGAAATGACACACTAACGGTTACTAATTTTAAATAGATTACTTTGGGGATTTCCTGCCATCAAAGCCTCAACAGTGCTTTTAATGCTATAACCTTGTTGCCTGTAACTTAGATTTTTTTTTTTAGTAACTAGAAAAATGCCACCACGAAGCATCACATGCACTCAGCAGCACAACAGTGCTGTCATTTGACACCTGCTAACAGCAGATGAGGACCATCTATGTAATGAAGTTTAAAGCCAGATGGATGACATCTTGCCAGGGTCTCACAAATCTTTGTAGACTGCAGGGTAAAATTTACGTACAAGAAACCCAGTTCCCTCCCAGGTTTTAGAGGACAGAAGGAAAACAGAGTAGAGAGACTCATCATCTGTTTAGCTCAACTTCTTTGCCATGTTCTCTGTAATTCTGTCTTTCCACACCGTTCCTCACATTTTCAGCTCCTCACCTAGGTCTCCCATTTTCTTGTCCAGACCACTTCAGTTCTGCTTTACTGGCTGCTCACCTTGTCTCTCCCTCCACCCCCTGCACGCTGGTTCTCTACCACCCCACCCTCCTACTAATTTTTCTTTGCTCAGCCAGTCAGGTTTCTCCTCTAAAATTACGCTTTCATGTCCAATCCATATTTTCTTTGTCCAGCTACTATTTGCTCTCAACTAGTGCCTAATCCTGCCTTCCTTGCCTAAATTTTCTACTTCCCTTTGTCTGATTTTACAGTTCAAACACATCAGCAAGTCATCACAGCATAACAAGTCCGTCAACAGAGTAGCAGTAATTCATCTTGCAGCAAATTACACCATCTTATCTCAAGGTTAATGTGAGGTAAAATGCACTTGGCTCAGCCTCTGTCACAGGCAGCTAAAGTAGTGCACTTTTCTGCAGTTTTGCAACATGCTATGCACTGGCAAAGTTAATCCAGCAGTAACTCACAAGGGTGTGGACAGTTTTACTCATACATCTGAGCACCTGGTGTCCCCTAGAGCCAAGTGGCTATTAAAAAAAATAATCAGCTAGACAGCACCTCAGCTCAGCTACACAGTCTTGCTCTGGAAAAGTAATTAATGAAAAAGTAAAAAAAAAAAAACCAACAAAACCAACCCAACTCTACGGCCCACAAGTTTGAGGAGAAAGCCCATCAATCAAGTTCTTTTGTAGGAAACAGGAATCTTTTTTGATTGCTTACAGTTTAGTTGCCTTCAGCTCACTTTCACCAGAGCAACAGGATATGTCCCTGACACAGACAGACTAACCCGCCAGATAAGCTTTGAGCCCCTTTTCCAAAGTGCTGGTCAGAGACTAGGTTGCCAAAGTTTAATGCCTGGGATCAAACATTCTCACAGTCTATTGTGTTTTGTGATCTTTTCCTTTGGACATGGCTGATCTACATTAAAAATAAATAAATAAAAGAAAGAATGATTCAGACCAAACCTCACCACTTTGCCATGGCAGTGTATTCCACAGCACACACCAGTGTGCCAGGGGCCCTGGCCAGGTTCGACACAGTTTCAGGTCCACAGGAATATGATTTCAGGCAAAGAACATTTGACATAGTAACAATCAACACAACTTTCAACACTTGTAAGGCTGTCCACTCTCCACACCTGTAGTTCACAGAGATTTCTTGGAAATACTAGTTAAAAATTAGCCAATATTTTACATGCACACATTCTAAGCAAGTTCCATGAACCTGAACCTTGAGCTTTTTGGCTCAGCCAGCCACATATACCTGTCACCTCCCATGAGTGAGTACTAGTCTTCAGGCAGCTATGCAGTGACCTGAAAACTTTTATTTTCTGACAGATTAGTTTTCAGGCACATCAGTCTCCTGAATTGGTTCGCTACATAGTCTTTCAGCTGCCAACACTGACAGATCAGAAGCAGCGGGGCCAGGCAGCTGACGGTGAACAAGGAAAAAGGGAGCAACATCTTACATTTAACCCAATTTAATGCAGTTAAATAGTGGGAATGCAGCTTTTTAGTTTTCCACAACTCCAGAGAGCACTTATCTGTTAGGCTACCCCCTGGCATTTTGTAGTACTCTCAAGAATGCATTTAATTGTTCCATTGTTCCTTCTCAACTTGGTTTCCATCTGGTTTCTTTCCCCATCAAAAAAAAAAAGAAGTCCGGGCCACCTGTATCCAGTCATCTCTGAAAACCTTAAAGTGGAAAAATGTGAGAGGGTGGAGCCAACAAAGAATAACTTTTTGGCCAAAGTACAGTTTACACACCTCATTACCTCAAGGCAGATGTTCAGCATGGAAAAATTTCAGCACGGAATCATGGAGTTTTAATGAAATGAGATACAAGAAAGTAAAATTGAACTCGATCACAAGAAATGGTGGGCAACTATTAAAACGTGACTTTTGCTGCCTGTGTCAATAATTACAATAAGGTGTCACACTGTAAAGCTCTTTAGTAAAATGAGGGCCTTTACAACCTGCTGGATATCTTCAGGACATGGATCAATCCATCATGGGAAGTCGCATCCTACATATGTCTGTCAGAAAACCTCAAGTTGTGACAGCATTTCTTAGTTCAGACCCACAGCTTCAATTTACCCATTTTGACCAAATAACTTAACAAAGTTGTTGCTTCCAGCAAGTGATAGGCCTTTAAGAAAGTAAACCAGCATTCAAAGTTGAATTGTCTACAAGTAAATTCCCAGAGCCAAGGAATTTGGAACCACAGTCCTAACGTTGCTCTCCTGTGATGAGATACTGAGGGGCCAAAATTCTATGTCAGACATGGCGAGCTGTGAATAACCCTTTGATATACAGTTTTATACATAACTAACATAGGGGATTTGCTTCAAGATTATAGGCAGAGGACAGGACCCATTTGCAGTTTCACTGCTTTTTATGTCCTATTCCAAGGTAGCATTGCCTGCAAATCTCCTTATGTTCACAAAAGCATTAGCCCTTTCTGGTTTTAACATGCAGCATGAAGAAGCTTCCAACTTGGTTTCTCATAGAGGGGGATGGCCTCCTCCTTATGAAAACAGCAGTGTTTTGCAAAAGGCAATATTTATTTGTAATGCTTTGTACAGGCCTCTCCAGATGCTTTACACATACAAAAATACATGCAGCCCCTCTGGGCAGTAAATACCAAGCCTATTTTCACCGAATCACAGAGTCAATTAGGTTGGAAAAGACGTTGGAGGTCATTGAGTCCAACCCATGACCGGACACCACCACCTCAACTAGACCAGGGCACTGAGTGCTATGTCCAGTCTTTTCTTTCACGCCTCCAGGGACGGTGACCACACCTCACTGGGCAGTCCATTCCAATGTTTAATTACCCTTTCTGTGAAGAAATTCCTCCTAATATCCAACCCAAACCTCCCGTGGTGCAGCTTAAGACTATGTCCTCTCATCCTGTCGCTAGCTGCCGGGGAGAAGAAACTGACTCTCACTTGGCTACAACCTCCTTCCAGGTAGTGGAGAGTGCTAAAGTCCTCCCTGAGCCTGCTTTTCCCCAGGGTAAACAACTTCAGCTCCCCAGCTGATTTGTGATCCAGACCCTTCACCGGCTTCGTTGCCCTTCTCTGGACTCGCTTTCACCACTTTATGGCTGCAGAAGTCCTAAGTGATAACAAGCAAAGCCAGGAATAAGTATACCCAGGCTTGAATCCTGTCCCTAACTATAACTGCTAAACCGTATTTCTTAAGCACTAAGCGAGAGTCCAGGGGGACTGGGGAGCATCACATAAAACAACTTCAGCAGCAGCTGTTAAAAAGCTAAAATATGTATGTCCTTCCTTTCCCCGCCCCCCTCGAGCGCGCCCCATCCTCTCAATATACAGCCCGATCCCCGCGCCAGCGCCGCTCCCCCGGCGGCGGCACAAGATGGAGGCGGGAGGGCTCAGCGGGAAGCAGGAACGGCAGCCCGCGGCACAGGGAGCGGGAGGGACAGGAGCGGGCGAGGGAGCGGGAGCAGCAGCGCGGCGGGGGAAAGCCCCGAGGCGCAGCGCCACCTCCTCAAAGAGACACCACCACGGCCCACAGGGACCTGGAGCGGCCCTCCCGCAGCAACGTCCCGGGGGGGCGGGACATTCCCGGCCCCGCCCGCCGGCCGTGGCCATGGGAACGGCAGCCGTGCGAGCCCCGCTCCGCGGGGACGGGCTCCCGGCCGGACCTCCGGCTGCCGCTACGGTACCGGGAGCGGCGCGGCCACGCCCGACACCCTCTGCGGGAGCGGGGCCGCGTCAGGCGGGGCCGGGGCTGGGCGGCGCGGGCCGGGAAGCGGTTGTGCTGCCCGGGCGGACCTCCCGCCTCTGCCCGGGCCTCCCCTGCCGGAGGGGCCGAGGGGCTGTCGCTGAGCTCGGCAGGGAGGGCAGGGCAGGGCAGGGCAGGGCAGGGCTGGGGCCGGGCGGGTGGGTGCCACCCCGGGAGCGGGAAGGGGGTAGAGCTGGCGGCAGTAGTAGCGAAGTTACCGGGGGAGGCTCGGGGCGATGAAACATTTGCGGGCTTGAAGCAAAGCCAGCTTTGTGTCCTAGAGGGGAGCATCATGTAGAGTATGGTACTTCCATTGATTACCATTGCACCTTTTAATGCTTCATGTCTTCACGTTTTCTGTTTAGGTTGGCAGGGCTTCCAAAACCAGTAGATTTTTCTAGTAGTGCGTGTTCCACTGAACCTAGTACTTCAGCTCTGACCCTCATTTGTGTGATGGTGGAATTTTTTTGATATAGAGATATGTATGTCAGTTTTTTCTTTCCTGGTTTGTTTTATACTGTCCTATGGCCAGACTTCGAAAGAGGGAAGCATAGCCTGACGATTTGTGCTGATTCTTCAAATATGTAACTACTTCCATTTGTTCACTTACCTTTCAGACCCTCTGTACACACTGTCAAGTGAGAAGGACCATTCAAAGTCAATGTCCACACTCAACTTGGTGATAAAGTGGTAGGTGTTGGCCAAAGACAGCTCACATGTGCACCTTGTATTTTTCTGTGTATGCATACACATGGATAGAAACTCTATCTCAGTCCTGAGCTGCTCCCTTAATACAGCAAAACACAAAGCAAAGGAAGCAGTTTTAAATAAAACAAGACAACAGAGAGAGTAACCATGATTGCTGGCCTAGGGTGACTCAGTAACAGGAGCCTAGAAATACCCAGTTTCATGTTCTGAGTAATTTCCTAAATTGTTTGTCAGTATTTTTAATAGACTGTCTCCAAATGCTGTTAAGTATAGCTTGTATATATTATTTAGATCTAATAAAATAGCTTGACAGTTGTTGGGCTGTTGTCCGAGCAGAGGTGTTAAAATGTGTTATTTCACATGGTGCCTCCTCACTTATCTGGGGGTATACTTACACTCCAGATCAACATTGCGTACTTGGACTAAAATGAAATAGGTAGCAACAGCTAAGCAGCCTATAAAGACTGCAAATCCATCCTGATTCTTCATACTGGTTTAGCACAGTTTAACTTCTAGCTAAGCCCTTATCTAGATAGCCCATGCTTAGCTCTCTACTTCAGTTGCTCCTCTGCTATCAGTATTGCCCCCTAGCTGGTTTAAAACCAGCCAGGGCATCTCTGTGGGAGTTGCAGTTGCACCTTCAGACAGCAGTGATTGACATAGAGTGCCAAAGGAAAACAGGCTTGGTACAACTGCACAATTAACAGGATTTCAGACAAAGAGTCCTCCTGAAGCTATGCATTTGACTGAGGCTGCAAGGGCAGATATTCTGAACTCAAACTCCATTGCTGTACAGCAAGGAGAAAGTCCCTGAACAGCTTTCCAATACTGGAGTCAAGGAATGTGTTTTTGAAGAATGTTTTTGGATGTCTCTTACTCCATTATCTCAGACTCTTTCTTATATCTGCGTGAAGAAACCCACATATTTGTCTACCTCTCTGTGGAGAGACATGCACATGGAGCTGGGAACACTACCTGTCATCAGAGAGACCCTTGCTACAGTATGGCTGTGATAACAGTTCAGGTCAGACAAAGTAAGCAGGCATACTGTCACTGAAGTTGTCATCTCATAGGTGTAGTGGTGTGGATGGGTATGGTGGTAGACTCCAACTTGTATAAATCATGTTTTAAAATGAATCGGCAAGTGCATAATTCGCAATTCAAAACACCTCAACCTTTATCTGTAGCTTCACAAAATGGGATGGGCAGAGGTTGTAGTAGGAGTTGATGGGCTATTCCAAACGCTCGAAAGTTGGACTCCCTTTGAAGAGAAATAAAACAAAATGCAGTCTCATGCAGAACAAGCAGCTACTCATGGTAGGGTGCCTATATCTTCATCAACTAATACTGTCTTAGACTCCAATGAGTTGATGCACTTGAAGTCACCACTACCCTGTATGCATCTGAGTTAGCACCTACTGAAATGAAAGGGGCAATTCATGATTCAATTCTTATTTCAGTCTTTACAGAAGCTCAAGCCAATATAGCTACATCACTTACACTTGAGTCACGATTGCAAAGATTTATTGGCAGCCGTAAATTTAGTGATTTAAGGCATATCTACCCAGGGAAATTAGTGCTTAAATGGAAGGGTGTAGATTTTTAATGTGATCATTTTTTGTGTGCTAGCTTCCATTGAGATATTTTTAACAAATGCTAAAATTGTTACAGCATAAAATAATGTAACTTTACTCTGTAAGTGGAATATGTTACTTAATTTCTGGAGCACTAGAAATAGAAGGGAGTTACATGGGGTAATGTGCTAGAAGTTCACATTGCTGCACATTCACAGTTACTGCACACTAACTTCTTTATGTAACAAAGCGTTAGACCCTTCGATTTTAAGTATAAGTTTAGCACTGGAAAACAGCCGGAAGACAAATCTGTGCATCTGCTGCTAGTCTGGTATGCTCCACATCTTGAGAAGTACCATCTAACCAGCTGACATCATTAGCATACGTATGCCGCCTTATTTTCCCATCCCAAATGTCCTGTAAATCACAGAAGGATGAAATTCTGATCTCTTTAGTGCTGTTTGAAATAGCTAAATTACTGCCTCTCTTCTTTGTGTCCACACAAACACTAGGTAAAAGCACCTATATTCAGAAGTATGGCTACTGGATTGATTCATTTTCCAGCCTGCAGTTTGTGTCTGAAGGGCAAAGATCCAGTGCCTGCATTTATTGCTCGAAGATGGAGGGCTCAGCAGGGCCTGGAGGCTCTTCAGCAGCTTGCTGTGTAAGTGTTCTATGGTTGGATAATTTAAAATGAACATACAAACAAAACCAACAAAAGCCCGTGCACACTGAAGTGGAGATGACTGCAATTTGCTTCTACTTATATTTCCCTCGAAATTAAGAGATTGCAGCTGTTGTGGAGTATGGTTACCCATCTGTTTCCTACAGGGTGGATGTTGCACATTCCTTCATCCCTGTGCTATCTACTTTGCAGTGGTTGCAGTGAAAGAAAAGAGAGTTATTTCTATCTCTTATAGATCAGATGAGTTATGAAGATTTCAGTGACTTGTGTGTTACTTCAGTGGGAGCTGTTTCATTTTAGTCCCGTGCAATTGCAACTGGTTAGGTTGTTTTTGCTGTTCATTCAAGAGTCTTTGGGGCCTGAATCAGGGCACCACATGCTGGGTGCAGGGGTTTTTTAGTTGAACTTTCTCCTGGCATCACCATTTGGGCTTCTGATTCAGCAAATATTTAAAAAAACATTTATATGTTTTGCTGCACCGCATGATTTTTTTAAGTCCTCGTACAGCTGTATTAAAGACTGCAGGCATCAGCCTAGGTAGTTGTTTTCAAAGTTTTTTTCTGCTTTAACAAACTAACTTTAGACCATGGGCTTTTCAGATGATGCATGCTCTGGGGTTGCTGGTAACTGAGTTCTACCACATACCAGATGGTAATCAGAGATGTTTAAGAGTGATACAGTGGATTTCATACCTGGTTTTGTTCAGTTTCAAAAGCATATTCTTCTTATTTCCATAATAAAGTATTTTTAGAGTATTTTTTCCTTACTGCTGTTTTCAGTATTTCAAACTGTCCCCAGCACATGGAAACCTCAGTGGCTTCTTATATTTTGCCTGTTATTCTGTAACAACTTATTTGGCATCTGTGCTACTTTAAAATTGATTTACATTTCAACAACATGTATTTGCAAAATGTCCTGCAATTAACAAAAAAAATGAGAAATAGATCCCCTCTGTTTCAACCTGCACTGATTGACAGCGCTGCTGATACAGAAGACAGAATATTTCCCAGCTGTCTTCTCAGTAGTTGCATTGCCTCTGCAAGGTTACCAGGAATAAATGCTCATTTATTTCAGCCAAGTCAGCAAGAATAAGTCAAGGACATGCAAGAGGCAGGATCTGTGGAATAAAAGGGGCTATTTCCCTGGGTTCCCATTGTGCCTGTACTATACCATAATAGGATGAACAGCTTATGCTAATAAAGTTAGATCATAAGAATAAGTGCCCACCTGTGCTGAATGAAACACAAATCCATCTGGATGGAGCAACAGTCTGATATTTAAAGAGTCAGCTAGTGAAACTAGCCATCAGCTCAATTAACTCATTTGAATTACAAACGCAACTTCACAATAATAGTTTGATTAGTGCTGAGCAAGTATGTCAGGTTACCACACTGCATCTCAAAATACTCCCCTCTCTTTCGTTATGTGATATGACTGAAAGCCCTGGGAAGAGATGACTTTAAACTTACCTTGGCAGTAAATTGTGTGTCACGGGAGGTTAATGAAGTATCTCTCTCTAGGCATTCCTGTAGCAGGTAACCGTACTGTGGCTCCCCAAATTCCACAGCGCAGTTTGCAGGACTTAGATGAGGTCTTTGGAAAGCATGCAATGCAATGCCTGATCTCAGTATGCAATCCTCTGTTTTGATCCCAGCTGTCAAGCAATGTTATGTACTGTCAACTGCATCTCTGTAAATATACCTTTGTATGTGAAATTAGGCATCAGCAACCAACTCCAGCATCCACAATCCCATACATCTAAAGGTCAGAAGTCTTACAAGTTGCCAAAAGTGGTCTTAGGAAAAACCCAGCCTTCAGGATTGCCAGTGGCCTGGGTTGGAAGGGACCTTAAAGATCATCTAATCCCCCTGCCATGGACAGGGACACCTTTCACTAGACCAGGTTGCTCAGAGCTCCATCCAGCCTGCCCTTAAACACTCCCAGGGATGGGATATCCACAGCTTCTCTGGGAAGAACTTCTGTTTTGTGTCTTTAACCACCTTGCAGGTTAAGAAGAGTATGCAGTGGTTGTAAAATCAAATAGCAATCTTCATGTATACCTTTCAAATTACTCAATTCTTCCCATTCTCTCACGGACTGCCTTAATGAGGTCTTCCTCATGGTCTTCCAAAGCCTTAAAGAAAACTCTTCAAGGTGTTATAGTGAAAAAATTAAAGTCTGCCTATTTGAATTTCAAAATGGTGAAAAAAAAATGAAGAAAGAGGATTCTTGCAAAAGATATGGTTGTTCCAGCATAGGTTTTGAAACATTCACATTGTCATTCCTAATTTTTCTCCTTTATTGGAGAATTCAAATTGAAAGTGCTGATTCTAAAATTTTCAACATTTGCTCAAAATCCATTTAGCTGTTTTTCAAAGGTAGAAAGTGGTAGTCCTCTCCTTTGCTCATTCTACTCCTTTACACGTATTTTGTGTTACGGGAAGCATTTAACTCCTAAGGAAATGAGGTTGCTCCCTCCACTCCCAATAAAAGTAGTTTTACTTTACAAAGTCAAGTGCATACAAGTGGCCAATCCCTTCCATAATAAGGGCATAAGAAAGTTTTAATAAAGGCAGCAAATAACCATTTCTGGACAATACATAGTGGGCAATATACATAAAGTGTCAAACTGTTTTGTTACATAGGTAAATATGAAAAAAAAGCAAAATATAATTGCTTATATAGGTATGGGGATTTTGGGCAATAGTGTGATGCATGTTGGATTGTGCAACTAGATGAGAGAGAGAGAATTTAAAAAAAGGGCATAAAGAAAAAAGGTCAGAAATACTCTGAATGTACTTCTTTAATTATATCCTGTATTTTGGCTTTCAGAGCTCAGTCTTCTCTTCAGATACCTCAGATTGTGTATGAAGATCCCGAAGTTGATGGAAGGAATCGCTACAAATATTTTGTACAGTAAGGAATGAACTGGTTTAAAACAGTTCAGAAGCTTGCTTTTGTGCAGTTTAAAGAGCACCTAAGTAAAGGCCAGAGCCTTTAATATTTTTTCTGTATTTTCTGTCAGTTCTTTGATCACTGATATAGAAAATTTAAATAGTAACCAAATCTTAAATCACAAGATCTTTTTTAAATTTACACTATGCCAAAATTTTCAGCCATTGATTTACCAGATAGGCAGATATACCAGACATTCTGTACTTAATAATTATTTGTAGAAAGATTTGGACTGTAGATCCTCCTGTGCAAAGGAGGATACTTACAAAGCCATTGTGGTTCTCCAGACCCCTAGAAAGTTGTCTTCTTAAGAAGGAACCTTTTAACTCCTAGTTTTTGCCAGGAACAGCAATGGGTGATTAACTTTTCATCAGTGTCCTCTACTGCAGGACTGCTCTGCTCCTTCCAGAATAATGCTGCAGGTCAGGAATGGACTCAAGATCTGAACCAACAGCTAGCATATAAACATTCTTGACTTAGTTATATACACTTTGAATTACATTCACTATTTTAGTCAGCACCTATTGGCCACTATGTCCACTTTAAATATAAAAAAATTGCCAAGTTTAATAAATTGAAGTCCTTTATGGCTCCGTTAACAACAATTAAAAAAAGAACAATGTTATCTTCTGCAATTTGAAATTAAGCTTTAAAGTCTCCAAAAGGCATCGATAGTGAACTGCAATATGCAAACTATAAAAATGCTTGTGAAGGAATTATCAATATTTAGTTGAGCCCCATTACTTTCAAAATACCTCATAAAATATTGCAAAAAAGGAAACTATCGAATTAGATAAGTCCAAAACAGTTTACCTTATCAGCTAATCGTAGGAATTCATTTCAGCGTTTCAAGCAGTTGTTAAAAAACCCAAACCTGCCCTCTCAAAAACTCAAAGTGAAAAAAGTAAACTAATTAGTGAAACATGAACAAAATATTGTGAGCACACTCAAAACTATTTTTAATTATTATCTTGTTTTGCAGTTCTACTTTCTGCTTTAGCATAACAGTAACACTTAATCCTACTAGTGAATCTTATTCTTAATCCTACTCTGTTATTCCTTAGCTATGAAAGAATTACTTAATATTCAGGTACAATTCTTAAACATGCAACTACAGAACCTGTAAAATCAGTGTAACTCCACTGGAATTAGTGGACTGCAGTTTTTCTAAACCATAATGATCTTTTACACTCATCTCTTACGTTCATGCTGTTTTTTTCAGCTTTCTCAGCCATTCTGATAAGCCGCTTCCAGTAAATGTTCCCTTAGATGTTGCTTATGAAATAACAAAGTAAGTAGTGACTTCTGGACATTACTGTTGTAATGGGTCACATCTCATCAGAAAAAGACTAGGCAACTATTTAGCTGGTGACGAGTATTTTTCATAGTGAACCGAGGGGAAAAACTTCTTAAGAGGTGAGGGTCTGTTCACCACTGAGAATTATTGAGGAAACAGGCGATAGACTTTTTCAGAATTTGCTTGTAGTATATAAAGAGTGCTTTGTGAGTAAAGGACATGTGCCTCAAGTGTTTTATGCTTATGAGGCCTAAGCTAAGTGTCTCTGAATCTTAGAAGAGATACGGTTGCAAAGAAGATTCTCCAGTACAGCAATATTGTTGGAAAATCTGGTATTTTATTACAATCTGTGTGATAGATACAATACTGTTCAGTGTGTAGAGCATCCATGAAGTAGTATAATGTGGGTATCAAATTTTGAGGTCGCATAAGAAAATTCAGTTCCTAGTAGAGTCAATGGAAATTGCACATGCTTATATCAGAATTAAATTTTTATTCTGGAACTGTTGGAAAGAAAAATATGTAAGCTAAATTGAAGTAGTCCTTCATGTTACAGTCAACCATTAGTTACTTTTTGTGTCCATTAAAGGCAATGCTTTAGAATGGATACATAGGAAAGATTTATATGTAATAATTGTGAGCACTGAAACCAGAAGATTTCTGGATTGTTTACCTAGGGAGGGTGTTTCAGAGGACACGGTGAAGCCTCAGTCTGCTTTTACTAAAGATAATGGAGTTAACATCAATGGGAGCAATGTTAAGATAAAACAAAACACATTTGGATATCCTCCCTTTGACTGACTGTTGTGTTTCTGTTTTGGTTTATCTTTGTTTTGTTTTGTCTTGGGGTTTTTTGAGTTTGTTTGTTTGTTCGCTTGTTTTTTAATTAATATGACGAATGTTCTTCCTTCTTGCATCTCTTTTTAGGACAGAGCCATATGTTGATTCAGCTACAAAAGACAGCCACGTCTTTGGCCCCAGGTTCCGAACTTTGGGTACTCAAACAGATTACAGGGATGGTGAAGCCCAGACGGATCCCTATTCTCCTGAATATATAGTTCACGGTGGCTCAGTCCCCGAACTTCTGACTCTTGCTACACTCACTTGGGGTGAGCTGTGAAATTAAAATAAATTATAATTATCATGTCACCTCTTTAGGAGGAGGTTCTTCTCTTTTCAGTGTCAGGTTTCAAGTTTATTGCCAGCTTTGGCAGTCCTTTGTTGTGTTCCTTTGAGGCAATTATTTTATCTATTTCTAAAATATGTATGATATTTTCCTACTTAATGGCGCCGTTCTGGGGCATTCCATGAACAGTTTTGAGAACACTCAGTGTAAAAAGGTCATGTTTTACAAATACAAACTAGGAGCAGTTTTTCCGTTTACCTACTGTTCTTCAGCTGCTCTGAGTTGAATATCAGTAAAAACCCCCCCTAAAACAGTATAAGGACTGCTGCCCCAGAATATACCTGTGATTCTCAGCTCCCAGTGTCTCACCTGCAATGATGATGGACACTGGACATGCCAAAGAAAGTGTCTTCCTAGGGAAGGTTTTCTTCCTTTGCAGCCTGCAGTAGAGGAATGAAGTGCTAGTGTTGATGTCAACTGAACTATGGCAACTGCAGGCCCTACCATTCCTCATACTGTAGAATTTTACCAGCCTTAGAAGTATTTACTTCTGGCTTTTGACAGTTCTTCTTGTGTTTAACACAAGGGCTTGTGCCCGTCCAGCCCTCTAATACTTTTTGGTGGTGGCTACTTGTGGGATTTACCATTCTCCTAAAGAGCTAATGATTCTTGTCCCTGCAAGGCCGGGGGCTACCAGCAGGACTAGAAGAGATGGAGATAATTGACCGCGCCCGGGAAAAACGTGCATGGGAAGCATCTCTTCCACCCATGGACAGTCCCTCAAACACCGCGAAGAGGTTGAAAATGATGGAAGAAATGGAAAGGAAGGAGTGGGCCTTTAGAGAACAGGAAATAGAAAAGTAGGAGTCCAATTATACTCTTTTATTTCTTTTAATTTTTGGCTGAATAGAAAAGGAGCAAGAAGGTTTAGGGGATTGGCTGAAGGGTACAACAAGCCTTATATTTCTGTGAAAATCCCCTGATTTTGGGAAGGGATATTTTCGTTAAACTTAATCTAAGAGACTGCTACTGCCTTACATTTCACCAATGCTTAACTCACTTTTTAAAATGAAAGACTGAATATGAGATGTGCACTATGAACTATTTGTGAAGTAGTCCGTTGGTGTGTAGGAGTTGATGATGACAGTGTTGCACAGAACAGTGCAGAGTACAGTAGATAATACCTGACCTTTTCTTTCCTTACAGGTTGCAGAAGGTTCGACTGGAAGTCTTAAAGAGGATGCTGCAGAGGCGAGAGGAGAATCAGAATAAGGTGGATGCCAAGCGCTTGTGTGACCTCTGGCAAAATCGCCAGAGGGCTAGAGAAGAGAAAATAAAAAAGATTCAGCACGACTGTGCATTGAGTAAGTTTGAAAGACAGAGAGAGAAGGGTATGAGACTTAGTTTTCAGACATTTCTATTTTCACGAGGTTGTAGTCTGTTCAAAATGAAACAGATTGCATCCACAATATTGATATGCATGGCCAGCATTTGGTCTGTCACGTCTTTGTATTATCTAGCAAAAGCTCTCGTGAATTTCCAAAGATATGGCTTTTATAGAACTATTTGTATGAACCTTCTCACATTACTATTTCCTTTTCAGTGCTCAGGAAACTGATAGCTAACAGGAAAAATATGATGGGAAAGCTGGATAGACGAGATATCATCAAAGAATATACTGACTTTTCATCAGAAACGTACGCACCTTTGTCTAGAATTGGGTTTTTCCCAGACAACAATTTTTCTGACTGCTATGTGGTGAAAAACTTCTATCTTAACACCTTTGCAGGTAAGGCATTTTGGAAGACTTAATTGTGTGAGATATTTACTTGAGATATTAACAAAACTCAAATGTCTCTCCTCAACACTCCATTACTTAATCACTGATTGTATTATAATCTTTGAATGTATTATAATCTTTGTTTGTATTATAATCTTAGGATTGTGTGAACTGGAAGCATCTCTCCCAGATTCTGTTATCCAGCTCAAGATTAAAGCTCCAAAACCTAAGTGCATTATCACTAAGACTGGCTTTATTAGAAGGTCAGCAAGGCTAGAGGCAGAGCTGGCACAGGTTCACCAGGTATGGAGCTGCATCCAGCAGCATATCAGTTTCTCTTAGATTTGAACTGCTCATAAATGCAATTGGGAAGACGTGTAAGCTTTTTCCCAATTTTTTGTGCTAAATTCTTACTTTCTGTAAGACAACTTCAAGGACAGAATGGACGAAACATGTGGACTGTTGTAGGCATGACCAGTACTGCTCTGGAACTCAGTCTGTCAATACTCTTACTCCCTAATATTTGTGCTTTTGTTTCAATCTTATAGAAAACAAGCATGGCAGCTTCTGTCTTCCTGCAGATCAGGTATTTGGATTGGAATGTATTATGTCAGTTTGAAATTCTCACCTGCCATTTTATCATTCTTATTTCTCCCTTGCTTTTATGATACACAAGTGGTAAACCTATTGTCTACACTGTCAAACTACTCATAATTAAAGGCGGCAAATCTGGATTCATATTCTAAAAATTCTGTGTGTTTTTAAAAATTTACATTTTAAATACCTATTGTAAAAACACCTTCAGCAAAGCATTATTAAAATGACCCCACTCTTCAAATCAGATCAGAATGGTGGAAGCACATCACTGTTGTTCCCTAGGAACAGCATCTGATTTGCAAACATGCTATTAGTGCTTTGCATATCTTAATTTATCCCAATTGTTCATGCAGATGAGGCGTCCATGTATGCAATTAACCACTGAGGAAAGAAGTACCTCATTTGCATCTGCAATCACAATATTTGTAAATTACATGTACTTTTAAGTACACTTCTTGTTATGCTGTCGAGGGTTACCTTTTTGTAAAATCAGGCATATTCTTGGCTGGCTGCTGTATCCCTGAAAAATAGTGACTCTCATTTGTAAAGCTTGGCAAGTTTCACACACACACAAACACACACACACACGCACATATGTATGTATAGCTCTTTTGGTTTAGTGTAACTTAATAATGATTTCAAAGCAGACAGTAACCTGCTACTAATGAATTTTAAATTGAAATCTTGTTTTGAAATCTTGTTCTGAAAAAACAGTTATATTATCTCAAATTTATATTGTGCCGGATCTTGTAAAAGATGAAATGTTGCATCTCATTATTATCCAGAAGGAAAATTTTCAAAGAAAATCTTGATTGCCACAGGAATTGTTTAAGAACTATGGACAAAATTCATAGTTTTATGGACACGGTAGTACTGAAGGGGTTAGAGTTTGGGTGCGTTTTGCATAAAATTCAGGAAGTGACTGTATAACATGGATCATAACATGGTTCTCATAGGCAAGCAGAATGTTAGTCCAAGCTTTCAGAGTCTAATTCCAATTACAGCAATTATATTCTATTTGTTCAAAATATTTCTCATTGTTTGAAAGACTACGGTGAAATGTCTAAACTGTAGTCACAGAGAAGAAGTATGCCCTAATGCTGGCTGCTCACACAATAATGTCTCTTCAAAGAAAAATTGGTGGCCAAAGGAAGATGGAATGCAGAACAAATGCAGACAGTTCTGCACATTTTCTTTCTTAAATCTGTGTAGATCACTTGGTCTACATTGATTTGTAGCAACTGAGAGGCTAACATAACAAATACTCAGTTCCCCACCACAAAATGGCAAAATGTATATTCTTTTAAAATCACAAACCATTTCCTTTGCAGGCAAAAGTGATAAAATAAATCCACTTTGCAAAATTTAACTGCTGCTTTTGGATACACAGAAGTAGACACCAGACTGGTTGGTCCAGACAAACAGCTGTGTTGGTCCTGACACTGTGAAACACCCAGACTGCCTCAGCAACCATTAAATTTAAACAAACTTTCTGTTCAGAGCAACAAGATATTACTGCCCTAATTAGCACTCCAGCTCCGTGGTGCTGTTACTGGTCACTTCTCTCATCACAGGCTTTTTCTTCTTAAATTTGGTGGCATGTCCCGGTTAAGCAAAGCCTCCCTGACAGATCCATCTCATGAGCTAGTGGAGCTGTCAAAACCAGAGCAGCAGAAGGTGCAGAGTACTTGCATTAACAGAATTTAGGAGGATCCTCCCTGAGAGGACAGCTCTCTGACCACTTGGATTAAGCAGTCCCAATTGTACCAACAAACCTCCATCACACACAGTAAGAAAGAAGTTTAAAGCAGGCAATTAGGGATCATCTTAGAAGGGCACTGTGTTGCTTTGCCTTGTTTCTATAGCTGAGCAGCCAAACCAGTTTTCTATTCGAAAGCTTTATTTTAGTGCTCTTCTAGCACACTTAATCTCTATTTTTTATTCCATAATCCTAGAAACAAAGTGAAACTCCGAAAAGTTCAGAGAGTACATGGTGATCTAGCTCCAGAATGAGTTTCTTTCATTTTCCCTGGATAATCTGTGGAAGCAGGTAGCAAATAGAGGAATGTTAGGTTTTGGGCTCAGAAGGATTTAGTTTTAATAAAAGAAGTTTCCAAAGCTTGCTTCTCTGGCCAAACAAGTGGAAAGACTAGTCATCCTTATTATGTTCCTTTTTGTTTGACATATTGACAGTATTCCTAAGCTTAAAGCTTTTAAGGGATAAGCAGTTTTCCAGGGAACTACAAAAAGGATATGTGTCCTCCTGAGAATAAGAACAGCTTCTTCCAGACACGAAACTAAGCAAAAAATAAGTGATTTTAGAAGCAGACTTTTTGAGGACCATCCTGAAACCTTTTGCACAAGTATTATGTACACTCAGTAGTTTTTGAATAAATCTCCAAGAAAACATGGCAGAAACAGGAGTGACCCAAGATTCACAGTAAAAACAACGATCTGTATCCTAAGCCAGATCTGTAAAAGGATAAGGAAAGCTAGTTCCTAGCCAGCACAGATAACAGTGCTTTAGAGGAGTGTAAGTGAGCCATAATATAGACAGCCTTTTGTGAAAATCCAAGGCATTAAAGAGATAACATACCAATACAGCTAACTACTATAGGAAATAAATGCAACTAGCAAGTGAATACACCAAGGCATGGAGGGGATGCTAGAAGACATCTTAGTGCAGAACAATACATGACTTTAGGCTGACCCTCTATGCTGTGGTGACTCAAAAAAGGTGAAGTGTCAGGTGGTTTCAAAGTGTTGGATCAAGATGAGGCCTGAACAAAAAACCCTCTCACCTCAGCATGAAGTTCGTCTCTCACCACATCTGTTTTCCTTTATCTGGTTGCTGGCAGGAGGTTAGACGTGTAGAGGGACCAAGAATGCCTCTGGAGAAAATCTCTGCCAACTTCCAAGTGTAGGAAAGCTTGTTTAAGCAGTTATTTCTTCAAGAACAGATCTCCAGCACAGTGTTAGTTGGCTTATGCTCAGACAAGCTCTAAGAGTTATTACGTCAGTCTTGATCAGCCAAGATACAGCAGCCACGCTGCACTCCTTGATGATCCTACCTGAAAGGAGGTTCTAGCCAGGTAGAGGTCAGTCTCTTGTCCCAGGCAACCAGTGACAGGATGAGAGGACATAGCCTCAAGCTGCACCAGGGGAGGTTTAGGTTGGACATTGGAAGGAATTTCTTCACAGGAAGGGTAATTAAACATTGGAATGGACTGCCCAGGCAGGTGGTGGAGTCACCGTCCCTGGAGGTGTTTAAGGAAAGACTGGATGTGGCACTTAGTGCCATGGTCTAGTTGACATGGTGGTGTTTGGTTGTAGGTTGGACTCGATGATCTCAGAGGTCTTTTCCAACCGAATTGATTCTGGGATTCCTCTGCCTCTGTACAATCCTAAACATCCACTGGTCAGATTATGTGACTAATACGTCTGTTCTAGAACAAGCAGCAGTTACAAGTATTGAGGCCATGTTGCTGAGAACACAGCTGCTCTGGGCAGGGCACGTCTCAAGGATGAAGGACCACTGCCTCCCTAAGATCGTGCTCTATGGGGAACTTGCCACCGGCTGCCACAAGAGAGGAGCCCCAAAGAGGAGATACAAGGACTCTCTGAAACAACATCTCAGCCTTGGCCATACTGATCAACATAACTGGTCTACTCTGGCCTCCAATCGGGAGGTCTGGAGACACACCATCTGTAACGCTGCTGATGCTTTTGAGAACACATGCAGGATCACTCTTGAGGAGAAAAGACAAATACACAGAAAGAACCATGTCTTGTTGATACCACCTAAGGAGTCTTTCTGCTGTGCCTTTTGCAACCGGACTTGTCTATCTCGCATTGGCCTTTTTAGCCACCAGTGCACTTGCAGCAAATGTGGGTAGAGCCCTTCCCAAATCTTCGTTTGCGAAGCCCAGCCATGATGATGATGATGATTCTGGGATTCTGAGATCCCACCTTCAGTGTTTGCGTGCAAAAAGGAAGAAGGAGAAACATGACTGTATACTCTGTGCTGTATGTGAAAATCAAACATACCTGGTGTCTGTGACAAGAAGAAGAGAAGATAAGGGAGGAATCTAAAGAATGATTTCTGTGAACAGAGAGTTTTTTCTTAAGCCACTGTCCTGTCAAGAGTTCTCTCAGGAGCTACTAAAAAGCTGAGGTGTATGACCAAAAGCATGAGTGCCATTTGCTGTTCACTGCATTTGCCAAGAAAATTAAAAGGACATGAATTGCATAGTCCTTCACTGTCCAATCCAACCAGATTATACATTGACTCTGAACCCACTACCTGAAAAAAGTAATGTAGTCTATCTCTGAAAAATTAGAGTAATATATAGGCAGTAACATTTGGAGTATGTTGTTCAGAAATTTAGCACTTTTATCTTTTTAAACCAAGTATTTTACAGTGATTCTTGGGGTCTCGCTTATTTTTTTTTTTGAAAAATCATAACTTGCTAAGTTAAGCAGAACCGGTTATGCAAAAAACCCATACTTTATTTTTCTTTTCATACATTAAAGTCGTAATATATCTTAAAACCTTAGATTAGAGAAAGCAAATGGTAAACATTTTTGACTTAGTAAAGAAAGCAAAGCAGACATTAGACTGTGCTGACATGAAAACATAAACCACTTCTGGGAACTGCAATATATCTCAAATCTACATTAATAAGAATTCTTTCTTGTCAGAAGAGCTCATAGATTTTTCTGTCTTTAAAAGTTGTTATGCTGCTTGTATTTTGTTATTCTGCTTAGCAAGAAACATTTTTGGAGGCTACAGTTTTATTAGAAAAATTCTTATGAATGCAAGATTGTACTAATAAACATAGGAGCCATTGTTTTCAGAAGAATCACAATTACAGCAGCTTTTTTCTTTCTGTTTCCCTCACCCTGTCATGCAAATCACCTTATTAGTCATAGCAAGCACTGTTATAATCCTCATGCCAGAGAGCCGTAAGGTCATCACATACAAAAAACAGTTCAGAAAATCTCCCAACATTTTTGAGCTATAACCATTTCACATGGCTTAAAAGCAGTTTATAGGCTTTGATTCTTGCATTATTAGCATGGGCCATTTAAGAAGCTTTCCATAATCAAGCATTTTATCCCCTCCACCTAGAAACCTCTCTCCTTTTCTGGAGCAGTTCATTATCCTGACCTGAAAGATCAGATCCAATATGCAAGAAGAGTTTTGTACAATGGCCACTGGAGTTTCAAAACTTGATTAATTGCACAATTAAATTCTGTGTAAGTGCCATCAGTTTCCTATTACAGGAGAGAGAAATTCAGCATTGAATTTTTTTCTAAAGCTTTTTTTTTTTGTTTCCTTCCCTAGTGAAATACTGTATTTGAACATTTGAAAGAGAGAAAGTAATAAAAAGGAAAAAGCACACTTTCCCATGCTGGAATATGTCTGTTCTTTCTATAATAAGGACTACAGATCCAACCCATACGGTAGTAGGATTATAATTTTGAAGGAGCTTTAAATGTACGCACTCTTTTCCCTTTTTTTGTGAGCTGAAGTGTGCTGTCCTGCAGCAGGCAAGCACTGTTGTGCAGCTGGAAATAATTATCTAAATATCTAGTTCTTAGTGGCTTGTGTTGGGAAGTTGTCAGGGCTTTGGCTCTTTGAACAGTTTGAAAAGGTCTTGGAAGAGCTGAGGCGTTGATGGCACTTCCACTCCTAGTCTGCTTTAGCTGACGAGGTGTGGCATCTGCAAGATGAGACGCAAGCAAGATAAACCCCGCTCTTAATGGGCCTTTGGGTTTTCAGGGTAGAAAAAAGTTCTCGGACAAGTTAGTTTCCCTTTTGTCCCTAGTCCACTTGTACAGTTACTGTGTGTGCCACTGGGCTGCTGGGCAGTTTTAGATGAGCAGAGAAGACTTTCAAAACATATTTTGCAAGGAAGGGGACCAGGGTCATTTGGTTCAACCCTGTACAGTAATAGCCTATCGTACAAAGGCATTTCACTGAGGAAGGGCCACAGAACAGTGACAATACACTCTTCAAGTGACCCCTTCATAAAATCTCCTGAATACATAGTGTTTCTAAGCCACAGTAACAAGCATTATAGCTATAGTTAAAGGCAAAGAGTTATAAGCATTCTTAGAGAATTAATTATTAGAGAGTTAGAAATTAAGTTTATACCAATTTTAGATTATATTAGGTAACTCACCCTAAGCAATTGCTGATGACTTACTAGTAAATACAGTAAAATAACTCCTTCTTCCTTCTAACGTATGATTTTGACGTTCCCATCAGTATCTTCTGACCAGGCAATAGCCTCATCTACTGACCATATTCGGTTTTTCAGTTGATGTGCAGTAAAAAGTGGAAGCCACAAGCCTGAAAAGCTCTCAGCTCCCTGTAGTCAATGTGATCAGCAACAATCAGCATCCTTATTGTTCTGTCTGGCCATGTTCTGATTAAATTGTATGTCTATTCCAGGCGCTACTGGAGAAGAAGGATAAAGTCGAGGAGCCAAAGAAGCCCATCCGTGGCCCTGAAAAAGTAGAAGAGCCTATTCCTAAGCCACCCACTCTAATTCTGGAAAAACCATCAATTGTAAGTCAGCTGGTTTTAGCACTTTTTTCCCTGTTGATCCCTCATTGCTTCCTACACAGTTGTTAAAGGAATGCCCAGAGAAGGAAAGAAGGGAGTTTTATCTTTTTCGTGTGCATTCATGTTAAAAATAGCCATCATTATTTCTTAAGACTCTCCTAGTCTCTATTTTATAAAGATACTAGCAGCCAAAGAATTGAAAATATTTTACAGTATCTGTTGGCCAAATCCTTAAGTAAACTTTATTTTATAAAGACATAAATTAATAGACATGTAATTCTCTTGTTCTTGAGGAATAAGGTGGCATCATCATCATCATCTTATTATTATTATTGTTATTCAGTAGCTTCCAACCTTCTGATCTGACAACACTATCATAATCCAGTGAGGCAATTAACTTTAGTCTCATTGAAGTCAGTGAGACCTTGGCTGCTTAGCACTGAGCATGCACTTCATTAATTTGCTGGAGTGAAGCTCTTGTCATCATGCAGGATGCAGTGTTTGATGAGCATGCTCCAGTTCACAGATAATGATTCTCCTGCAGAGATTGAAATAGCAGTAATGATGTGTCATGGGGGTTGTGATATACTGTAGGAAAAAAAAAAGACTTTTAGGGGAGCTGCAACTTCTTTTCCTTTCTTAAAGTAACATACTTAAGAGGTGGTTGCCCCACTGGGTTGCTTTATCTTCTTATTAACACCATTTTCATGATGTACTAAGAATCAGACACAGTTACCATTTAAACTTTGAATTTAAGAGAGTCACACAACCACAAAAGTGAGAGAAAGTCTTATTGGATCATCCATGCTGCTGTCTTCCTTTGTGCAGTATGATATTTTATGTTTTATACAGTCTATTTTAAGACTGAAACAAGAATCTCTTATCTCTTTGGGAAGAGCTTTCCACAGCTTTACCAACTCCTAGGTATGAGATATTGTATTGCAGTGGTGGATTTGCACTATTTAGGTTTACCAGTTTAGCAGATTTTTAAGTACTTTGAGGTAACATGGAAAGAAATTAGAAAAATTTATCTCCCAGTTATAGTAATTCTTGAGCGTGTTTACAGCTTATGGTTTTCTTTTTTAAGAATTCCAATACAATTTAATTCCACCTACATGAATTTTGTCAACATTTGGTTTATTTTCAAGTATCATTATGTGTGAACGCATTAAATATGGAGATCTCCAGTGAAACTCCGCCTATAAAATCAGGTCACTTGAGCCACTGAAGAGCAGCACTAACATCTCCTGCCTTGCTGAATCCAAGTGAGGTTTCTCTTACCAGATAGCTGCGAGGAGCACTGAAAGCAAGAATCTTCTCTGTTGTTAATGCTTCTCTTCCTGCCCTACACCTATACGAGTAACAGCAGCTAAGTGCTTCCCACTGGAGTTGGGGATCTCAAAAAGAAACCGACGGAGTGACAGTCAGGTGATGTGGACAACAAGGGATATAAAAAAAATTTGAGAGAATCGAGGCACTACTGCAGGCCTCCTCAGCTTCTCTCCCCCAGGCATTTCTAGTGGACTTACTAGCACAACAAGCTCACAGAGCACATCTGAATTCCTTCATTACTTTTTGACTTTCTTCCAGTCCCCTCTAATTTGCAGCCATCTCCTACATCCTTCTATATCCTTATTTTTCCTTTTTTTTTTTTCTGCAGGGTATGATAGGATTTTCGTCCCCCTTCATTCTTTCCTGCTGGTGTATATCAGGCAGATGGACAAGCTGATGATTACACTTGCTAAGGCATCATTTGCAGCATTGAACAGCAGAAGTACAGAAAAATGCTTCTCACAAAAATTTAAACCAAATCTTAGTTTAAATCAGAGGAAGCAGTTTGGCTTACCAGTATATATGTGCCATCACCATTTCCAAAACTCTGTCCTGGAGCGATTTCACACTTGTAGCCAAGTGATGTGGTACAGTTTAGCTCTCTAGGACTGGAAAATCATCCCTTCTTTCCAGAAAAAAAGAACATACCAAATCATAAGGCAGTCCTTTGGCTAGTTCTGTTTTGCTTCTCCTGAGTGCTAGTGTAGAAAGGCAGGAATGCTTCCTTTTGCATTTGGAAAACTCAGTCTTCAACACCTAAGAAAAAACAGATAACTAAGATTCAAGCCCACACAACTTCTCTCATCCCACACTCTTCTATGTTTTTCCGATACTTCTTAAATACCACATTTCAATGCAGACCTTATAGGTTCTTTATTAAAAAAAAACTTACTTCCAATTTTTAGATTTCTTTTTATCTTTCCCAGGCACCTTAAGGACTCTTTCCTTCTGCTGCTGTCAACTCCAGACTAGAAGACCTCTCGTCTAGAAAGAATGCTGCCATCTATGCTTTCTGTACTTCCTCTATTTAAAATAAGCCCCCCTTTTTTTTTTCTCTTGTGGTCACGTTCCTTCTTCCACTATGCTCCATGATTCTTCCAAGTTGGTATCAATCACACAATGCTAGGCCAGTAAAGTTCTCAAAGAGACAAATCACAACAGAATGTAGGTAATTTTACTTCCAAACTGTCACTTTCTAAGTCTTAAATTTACTCATTTACTCTAATAAAGGTCACTGCTGGAACAAATATCAGAAGAAAAATTGTATATGTTCCCTTTTAATTTAATCCCTTTATTTATGGTTAACATCTCTCTTGAACCTCCTTTGATAATAATTCTGTCCCCTTAGTGTCTTGACCTGTTAAATTAATGTAGCTGGTGCTCATTTTGCAAACTAAGATGCAGTCAAGCTACAAATGGTATTTCTAATGCATAGAGTAATCTTCTCCATCAACATCTCCTTATCACTAGGTTCTCATCTCTAAAGACCCTTTAAAATCTCAAATAGAATAATTGTATGGCCTTTCTTCCCCATCCCTTGCAAAACATGGAAGTACTTGTTATTCTGACTCACCTTCCTTCCCTAAAAATTAGAAGAATGGTGTTCAGAAGCAACCAAGAAAAGGCAGGATATGAGTTAGACTATTTAATATTTAGATGGATAATCTACAGAAATCTCAGTCTCCAAAGACATAATTAATTATTGTGTGGATATTTGTGTTTTGGCAGGAGGAAGAGGAAACAGAACTGGCGGTGATCTGTCTGCAGAAGTTGCTCCGAGGGAGGGCTATTCAGAACATGGTATTCTGTGTCTGTTTATGTCTGTCTTCAGAATGATAGTGGGAATGACTGAAAGGGTGTTTGCAGTCTTTCTTTCACAGCACTAATCAGGGGTAATGAGAATTCTGCAGCATATCCTCCTGTATGTTATCTGGAGTCCTTCAAGGCTGAAGTCTTTGCTCTTCAGCCCAAATTTCTTACAGGAACTTCTAGGTTCCTACACGTGTCTGTGAATGTTCCCCCATTCTTACCGTTCCCTACACTCAGCTGTTTATTTAGACGCTTCATAGCAGAATTACTCAAATGGCAAATCCTAGACTAGATCTGGACCATGAGCACATTTTGCCATGATTATGCCAAGATGCCAGGCACAAGAACCTCCCACATCCCAGCAGGGCAGCTTGTATTTCATACCATCTTTCCAGTTTCCTGTGGTGGTGAGCTGAACCACAGATGAGGAGGAACCGAAGCATACCAGTGTGATTTCCAGCAAGTGCAGGACCCATCATTCTGCTTTCAGTGGAGCAGAACAGAGTCTAAGTAAAAATTGAGTAGCCGTGCCTTGTGGGCGTTATATTAAGCAAACCTATCACTTTTGATCAGACCAGTCCAGAAGGTTTGTTTTTATGCAGGCAGGGAGTATAACTGATATTCTCTCTTGCAGTAATTATTTGATGTTTGTGAAGCGTTCCCGTGTGGAATGCTGACCTGAGCTTTAGCAAACAATGTAATGTTGTGAAAGTGGCTTGAGGTGGAATGTAGACTTCCCAAGTCTTCTCCAGTTCTATGGTGATCTGTGAGAAGGAGTTTGATGCCATTGAAGGACTATTTACTTTCACAGTATGAAATGTCCCATTGTTTTAGGAATCTCCTTCCAGATACTGCTGGATCAGAAATAAATGACTCAGTTGGAGAATGATGTGAGCAGGGTTGAGTGATCTTTTGTTGCTGTTGGAAGAGAGGGGGACTGGAAATAAAACACTGTCAGTGAGGACTGGGCCACATAACCCCATAACAGGGATGGCAGCACTTTCAGAAACCTCCCCATCAATTTATTGCTATGAGCTGTTGCTGGTCTCCCTCAAAATGAAGGTCAGAGAATAGTAGATGTTGAAACACTGTGAAGCTTTGACATTGAGACTGATATAACAGAGTATCCAGAAGGCTATTGCCCTTTTCACTTGACATTGGTGGTGTTGTTCCACATTCCAGTGGTTTGATTTCTGGGTAAGGCCAAAGAAAACAATAAACAAACAAATGAACAAACAAATAAAAGTAGTAAGGGATTATCTATATTCCACAGCAGAAGGTCTCACTTTCATCTTCTGTGCAGGAGGGTTTAGGCAAGATTTACTTGACAGCTGTAGTGTTTGCCTAAATACAGCCACAAATTTGTTAGAGAGAACTAGGCCTTCGAAACAGCTGACCTTGCAACTTGGAGAAAAAAAGGGTGTGCTCTGCTGGCAAACATGTTGATATATATTCTCCATTTAATATGCTCACTTGTTTACCTTTATTTTAAAGATGTTTGAAGGGAAGAAGAAGCGACTGGATCTGATCCAAGAGCTGCGCACCACTCACGCACTCCAGGAGGATGGGCAGCTGCTCTTGAAGGCAGAGGAGCAAAGGATCCTGGCTCTACAGCAACAGCATGAGTCACAAATGCACAAGGTTTGCCTGTATAGATGGGAAGGTTGATTCACAACTCTGTCCTGACCAAGCACTCTGTTTTTTACAGTACCACCAACACTCTCGCATTTAATTTCTTTATGTTTTCTATTATCCACAGCACAGAAGGCACCCCAATAACAATAATGCTGTCCTAGTACAGGCCAAGCATTGAGTGCCTGGGGGGCTGAAATTGCTCTCTCGCTGCTCTGGGGAATCTCAGAACCAGACTGAGGCACCCTGACCGCAGCTGCTATGCGGGCTGTGGTTGCTTTGTTTGCAGACAGAGCAATTATTTACATTTACAAGGCTTTGAACAAACTGCAGTGTCAGATGAACCTCAGTTTTCCCACATTTCAATCCATTTGACTGGTACTGCGACCTGGCATCACAATACATACTTGTCACTCACATCTGTCAGATGTTCTACTGAGTGTTTGTTACTGCTCTGTCTTTTCTCTGATCCTTTTCTAGCTTGGCACCCTCTCAGGCTACTCCTCAGGCATAAAACATCACAAAAGAAGCCAAATCCAACTTACTTTGTAAATCCTGCTGGGCTCAAGACTTCTAGAACCTCAGCAATGGTGTCACGTTGTTGTACCTGCCACTGTTATGCAGAGCAGAGAAATCCTCTACCAAGGATCTAGTGAGAGCCAGGAATGTGAATTCCCATCCTATTTCCTTGCAGGGCCACAACCTTCCAGGGCAAAGTGAATAAAATGGCAGATGCTGGTCTGGAATGGATCATAAAGAGACTTTGTCCAGAGTTTACTGCATCTCAGATATACAGTATCTCTCACATTCCTGCAAGTTTTTACTACTCTCCTGTTTTTTCAGTGACCAGCTGTGAGGCAATCCTGCAGCTTCCATATTATGATAATTGCATCCGCTGTTAGTTGACCTGGTGGAGAGGAAGCCACTGCTTCCTGCTGGGTGGAAAGCAATGAAATTTCCCTTCAGATCTCAGTAAAAATTGAGACAGGTGACAGTGTTTTACTGTTTAGCATTTCCAGATGCTCCCTCATGTACAGGGAGCCAAGGTGCAGGAAGACTGAATTTTTCTCCTGAGGAATTAAGAGAAAAATAAAAGCTCTAGACATTAGAAACTTGCAGTGCTCCTGTTCTATTGAAGGCCCAGGTGTGAGTGAGGGAGAGACCAGTTCAGACACCGTAATGACGTTCACAGAGAGGGAGAGAGAGCAAATGGTAAAGATGTTGACCTCTAAATTCAGAATTTCCTTTTGGGAGAGCCACTATCCCCCTCTGCTGGTATCAACCTCCTCTACTCTTGCTTTTTTATTTTTACTATTTCTCTGAAGGCACATAGACCAATGCTCAGGTCTTCAAACATTCAGAACTGTAAAACTCTCTGGAATGCAAGTGCAGGAGTTTTCTATGTGTGTGGCTATTTTAGAAAGTCACTGATGACTCACAGTTCTATAGGTTTTGGTGGGTTTAGTTTTTGACCTTTTATAGGTCAAAATATATATATATTATATGGGTTATAGGTTTTTGACCTTTCCAGTATAAAAAGAAATGCTTCCTGCAGAAAGAGGATGGAAACTCCAGATAAAATGGTCAAAGATAAGGAGTTAAAATTTTCCAATTTTTTTATAACAAAAATCTAAGAACGTTCCTCAGTTGTTTTCCTCCATTTCACACCAGTTTTAGACATGGCATCTGGAGCAGTGAAGAGGAAGGAGCACATTAGTTCTATGTTATCCCTCCCTGTGGGGTGGTGCAGTTACTGCATTGCAGTCCTCCATCTGAAACACCCATGGGCTGAGTGTACAACACTGACAATCCCACTTGCTTTGGAAGACTGCATGAGCAAATGGCACAGCAGTATAAGAAAGTTGATTTATTATTATTTGTTTGGGATATTTCATCTCCATTTTGAGTTTTCTGTTTAGGTCTATTCTGTTAGTGCCTGTTTATTCCAGCAGAAACACAGCATCCCAGCCAGTTCCAGACATTCCCTCCTGCCAAGGGCTATGGCTTCATAGTCCATATTGGAGATAATAAATGTACCATAGATCTTATCCCTTTCTGAAGTGCAATCACATATACCCATAAAACAGGATGTGCTTGGAACAAGAAGTGAATGGCAAGCAATGCTGCACACCTGGAATCTAGTCTCAGCTCTGTCACAGGCTTTCTGATTTTCCATTCCATGTAATTTTGAGGTCTCATCTGCACTTCTGCAAACTTAATATAATTACTGTCAATTGGAATTTTGTAGCAGTTAGAAACTTGTACAGTTTTAGTAATATTACAGTACCTAAAGCTGTAGGGACTCATGGTTGCTTTATTATCTCAACCAGTTGAATTACTTTCATTGCATCACAATGTCCAGCCAAAGATGTATCATTTCACTGAGAGGCCTTTGAACTGTAACATTTTGGACCCTTAGGAGAGAATAGAAGTGTGGTATTACTCACAGTTCCAGTTTCCTAAAGCTCTACTCAAGCTTCTACTCATAAAGATTGGGGTTTACTTTCCACATGGTAGAAAGAAGCTTCATTTGCAACTTTTAATCCTGTTTTTCTGTTCTGGTCTGACTAAGCTTCGCACAGAAAGATGGAGGTATGCAGCTGAAGTAATTTCATTGTCACTTGTCTCCCTCCCCTATCTTGGTCTGGGCAGCAGAGTGTTCCCCAGTAACAAACAGGTCACCTCAGCAACTATTCTGGCCATACTCACAGCCACAAAAGTGGTTCATAACATCTGGAATACAGCATGTCTACTGCTTTATCTCCTCTCACCCATCCAAGCATAAGGGCTGCTTGTCCTAGTGTGACAGTATCAGGGCTATTCCTGCCCTGGCTCATTTTGCCATCTTTTAGCCTCTTTGTGCCATCAGAGCCTATACACAGGAACATTGCATTGTGCAGAAACCAGCCAGTGCAAGTAGAATGAAGAATGCGTGAAGAATGCCAAACTCCTAGGGTTCTCCCATGGCTGGTCTGAGTGGGTACTGCAGAGCTGTTTCACATGCCTTTGGTAGTCCTGAGACGTGGTACAATGCTCCTGGGAGTTGTAACACAATTCTTCGCATTTTTCTCTTAAAAGCTGTCATCAATGGAAAAGGACTTGGCCACGGTAGAAGGAAGGACACTGGCGAACATACTTGATTTTCTGTCCAAAGAGCTGGTGAGGCTGCAACAAGAACGGAAGATCCATGCTTTGGTCATGCTGGCTGAGAGGCAGAGGCGGATGCGGGAAGCAGAGGAGAGCGGACGTCGTCAGGTGGAAGAGAGGCGGCGTCAGGAGGAAGATGAGATTTTCAAACAGGCAAGTGAAACTGGTGGGACTGTGGGCAGTTTGTAGGAGCTGCCTCCTTGTGGGGAGGTCCAGATGAATGGGAGCTGCTTTAGCTTGGACTTTGGTGATGTCTAGTTTTAGAGGCTTAGTGAAGAGAAGGTGATTTCTTTCTAAAAGAGTCACGCCCTTGAAATGATGATCTGAGTACTGCTACAGACAGTCCTGTTAGACATGTCATGAATGGAGGTAGTTTCTAAATTTCTACAACAAACACCTGTGGAGAACAGATGTACCTAGATGTACCTAGATCATCTTTAGAAATAATGTTTTGGGAGCACTTGATCTGCCCAGCAGAACTATTAGGTGCTTTCCCAGGAAGGATGCCTTTAAGTAAAGGTTTGGAAATATTTTGCAACCCCCCCCACACACACACACCAAATGGACTGCAAATAAAGAGTTTGAAGTTATGATAATGGATAACATAACCTTGAAATTCAGAAAAAATACTGAATTACCATATTCCATAATTCTTCTATAGTCCTATTCTCTGGCTCTTGACTGCATGGAGCATATTTCTCCTGGTTGAAAGGCATGAGTGGGAGTCTAATTGACTAAACCAGTAATTTTCAAACTTTGTGGGAGGTGGTTAATACCAAGAGAGTCTGGCATCATGTTTATTTTTTTTTTTTAATTTTAGCCTGTCTTCTTATCTTTTCTCTATTTCTGAGTGGGAAGCAGGTAGGGTCAAAGTGCCATAAGCTTATGCCCTTCAGATTAGCAGAAGGAAAACACCCATTTCTAGAATCTCTATTCTACAGTTCTCATAAGGAAACCAATAATTCTATCTTGGTTTTTGGCTGGCTTGATGGAACCCTTTCCTTCAGGGTTTGCTTGAATGAAAGCTGATTAATTTACTGAAGTCAATACCAATGGTTATTATTTGGCAATTGTTGCTCAGGGGACCGTGAGAACTGAGGAAGCAACTGCCATTGCATTCACAGAACTAACCTGCTGCGGATAAGTTTTTCTTCCACCTCTGGTCCTTTCCTGCACTTGTTTCTGTGCTATTAGTTCTCAGAAAACATTACTAGGAAATAAATTTTTACAGAAAACATCTCTGAAAACAAATCCCAGGCTAGTCTGCCTGAAATTAAATCTATTGTTTGTGCTTCTCTGGAAATCTTCTTCCACTACGTTCCTGGCACAGCAATAGGCAGTGGAACAATATTTTGGTGTTTCGTTCCAGGTGGTGAAGGTGCAGCACAGAACCATTGATACCTACTTGGAAGACATTATCCTGAGTAGCATGCGGAGGGCAGCTGAAGAACAAGCCAGGGAAGAGGTTCAGAGAAGGGCTGTAGAAATCAATGACATTGCTTATGAGCTGGAAAGTCGGTACGTTATTAAATGGCACATTAGAGGCTCTTCACAGCAGTTTAGAAACTGCCTGACCATCTGCATCTGTGGTTATGTGTATCATCCAAGACATGGGAAGGGCAGAGCAGTACTGTTCATGGTCGCTTCATTACTGTGGCTGCTGTATGGGAACCACACTGTTACTACCTGGTACACACATATAAATCCATCAAAGCCTTATTTCCATACAGCATGTGCCAGATTCCCTTTGCAAATCGCTTGTGCAATCTGTGAATCACCCTTTTTAGATTTCTCCGTGCCAATGGGAGGCTGTGACTGAGCTTTAAGTGAATCTGGGAACTGCCTAAAGCAATACCCATTCATACCGATCTTTTCCTTTATTTATACTACTACAGAAAATCCATTTGAAAGAGATGCTAAAAGATACAGCTATACAACAGCCTTTCATTCTGGGATGGCTGTTCTTTAAGAAACTGCCAATTTCCGTGGAGGTCAGTCATATTGATGGCTGCCTGACAAGGCACTTTGAGTAAAGTAAGTTGTTGAGAACACCACAGTCTTGTGTTTGGCTGGGGCATCAGCAGTGAATACTTTTTAGGACTTGCCAAACCTCCAGTTCAGTTTCTATGCTCTTTTTTTGGAATTGAGCCATAAAAATCCCAATGACACAGTGACTCTCCTATGGTACAGCAGCTGTGTATTTTGTATCTAGATGAATACAACCAGAATGTTGGAATCCTTGGGGAGAATGAAGCGTAGATAATGCATGCAGCCCCTGGGCCAACTGGAAACCCAACAAACACTGGCATGGAAAAGAGCATGGGGACCAGCCAAGTGCAGAGTCACAAAAGGGAAGAATTTAGCAAACTCAGCAATGGGCCAAAGACTAAACTGACAAAGACACAAATGTTCAGAGGTATCTGTGAGTCTAACTTTGTTTGTCATCAGTGAAAATGGGGCTTCTAGATACCTTTGAGGATAGGGAGTCTAGGGTGATCCTCTTCCTGCTTTCCAGTGCAGTATTGAACACACTGGCAGTGCAGTGTGAAGGGGAATAGTCACACTGTCACCTATTTGTAGGATAAGGAGAGACCCAGGTGACAACTACTGCCAGGACAATGCACTCCCTTGGAAATAGTGAGAATGTTTTCAAGGGAGTCTTGTGTTTGCAGAGGTGATCTGGAGAGAAGATTAAAATACTAATACCATTGTGCATCTGTTTTGTAGTCGAACTCGCCTACAGTCCGAAGAGATTGTAGCAGAGCTGGTTTATGATTTCCTGATTCCAGAAGCTGCGAAAAGTGCTATGAGAGAAAGAGGTAAGGAGTCTAGTAGCTTTATTCTCTTTGTGAACTGGTTCGCTCTCCTCATTCTAGCTCTGTGAAAGGAAAGATGCGGTGCCAAGAGTTGTCTCAGGTCTCTGAGATTCTCTTTTTCCATTATGCAGGTAGAAAGTTAAGCCCTTTGACTCTTTTTTCACCAATTTCTCATAAGCTTTAGTCTTTTTAAATGGTGACCAGAATTCAGACCTGCTGTAAGATCTGGACTGTGCTTTTGCCAAGAAAGGTTGGGACAGATGATCCTTGAGGTCCCTTCCCCCTATTATTCTATTATAAATTTGAGGTATCTGCAACAATAAAACTGCATGAAAAGAAGCAGCCCATTGCACCTTCAAAAACAAACTGGAAGAAGTTTTTAAGTGGCCTGACTCTGAATTGTCGATTTTATGGCAATTTCTGAAAACTGTGGACATCTTTAACACGAGATACTCAAATATATGCCATATATGCCATGTGGAAGGAGGGTTATACACTCTAATAGGAGTTATATACTCCTGTGCTTCCCCCTCCTCCCCAGTTGGTTGAGAGCTAGAAGCAAAGATAAAGTTTTAGGGTTGGTAAGCAGATAATCTTGCAGTTGTAAAGGATGCTTCTATTTAACAAAAATGGAATAGCATCAAAATACAGAGGGGAAGACCCTGGAAACCTGTGTCTTACAGTAATTATAATGAATAAATCTTAACTGGGATGTTTCCACTGACCAGCACACTCAGAAGACCGTGACTAAACCTGTCACCCATAGCAAGTGGGTACGACCTACGGAAAGCAATGATATCACAATAGAGCCTGACGTGGTCCTTGCCGCAGTGCACTTCTCTGACTTGAGAACAAAGGCACTTACTTCACTGCCTTTTTTGTTGCTTTGTGAATGAAAACACAAACCCCGAACACGCATTTTGTGGCCTCTGAATTGTGCAGACTTCCTTCTTCCTAATTCATGTGCTTGCCTCAGCAACAGTACCTGTTCAGCAATTCTGCATAAGCTTAAATCAGCTCCCTTCTCTTTAGCACTGCTTCTGCCAGCCTTCCGAAGCAGGTGATGTAATGTTAGTCAGTGAAGCCTGCAGCTGAGGCACTAACACATGCAGGTTAGCCTGTCTCAGAAAGGAGAAGATAAAGAAGACCTGGAGATGGCCTAGGATTCTCAACACACAGAGGACATACATCAAGGAACAAAATATGTACTGAGCTTAAATGCAACAGCAGTTAATGAACAAAGCACCTCAGAAGCACTCCCAAGCAACAGACAAAAAGAATCTTCAAAATCTGTGAGAGCTGCAGTCGGTTTGCCTGGAAAGCAGAGCTAGACCCAGACAAAAATTAAGGTGGATTCTGGTGGAATAGAGCAATAGGCGATAAAGCACAAGAGTTCCTTTAACTGTGATCAGGTGAAATTTGTCACAATATTCTTGTGACAGTAGAAATCAAATATCAGGAAGAGACCTGGCTAATACTCTCTCCTGCTATTGCTTCATGGGGTAGAGGGGACTCCATACACTTAAGAGACAGTTGAATTCTATCAGATGTACACTCTGATGAACACACCCTGCTGTAAACCTCCTGCACAGCGATACTTTCAGGGAAGCAGAATCATTAACTATTCCATGTAAATACAGAGGAAATAGTATCAAAGAATGGCATTAGATCTTATAAGATGCATTTCTGTGGTGGCTTTTAAAGCTTTCCCTGCAGTGAGCCAAATTATTTATTAGGAAGCTGTTTTAACAACCTGGCCCATGCTTGAGCATTCACCTTCTTTGAAACTATCAGGAAGTGATCTGAGAGCACAGTTGTCTGGGCTGTCAAAAGAGCAAATCCATTTTTAGAACAAAGATTTGAGGGCCTGCAAGTTCAGCCTTTGCCTACACTTTAGCTTCCCCTTAAATATCTCTATTTTGCCATTACCTACTTGTTAGGCAGTTTTTTCCTCCTCTTTTTGTCACATTTTGATGTGTAAAAGCAGAGATTATCCAATATTTGGCTCATCCTTATACCCCTCTACACCCCTCTTCTGAACCCTACCTCACTGGAAGTAGAAGTTGCTGTGCTGATATGAAAAAACTTGCTTTGAAAGGGACAAACTCACCAGTTTGAGCCTGTTTTCTTTTAGATGGAATTCACTATGGATGGAGGAAGGGACTGCAGCAATACCAGGAGAGTATTGCCAGTATAGCTGATGCAGTTCAAGCAAATACGATTCAAGCCAAAATGCCTTGGGTAGAGAAACCTCTCTTGGGAATTGAGAGCTGGCTGGTGAAGGTCAGCTGTTCAAATGCAAGTGAGATCTGGTTGCATTCATTGCTGACAAAATGGACCTGGGAGATGGATAAACATAAACAGGGTGGGTTAGTAACATGTAGTGACTGAAACAGGGACAGCATGCAGAACTGTATGACAGCATGCAGGACACCAGTGCTTCAGATTCACAGTTAAAGTACAGCTCAGCTTCACAACAGACCAAAGCAAGTCTTGGACTTTCACAGGGAAGTGAACAATGAGAACCACAGCTTGTTCCTGCAACATTCCCCACACTCTCCCTAAAAGCAGGCAGTATTTCAATCCCCATGACTGAAATAAAGAGAGAAAGAGGGACCAAAGAACAGTGAAGAGCAGTGAAGAGAACTGTAGGGTGAATACTTAGGCTTGGGTAATTACTTCCCAGGAGGAGGTTTGGAAACACATATAAATGACTTTGGATGAAAAAAGTAAGGACCAATCCTGCAGTAGCTGAGGGGAGATGATAAGGTGGGTGACTTAGTGTCTTGAGTCTTACTTTGAACTCAGTAACAGTTTCTCAGTGCAGGCCAAATCATAGCACAGGAGAAGGCAGATTTCAGCTGGAGTCTTCCAGGGGCCTGCTGCAATTAGGAGACACTGAAGGAGAAGTTATTTTAAAGCCACATAATATATCCTGGGCAGTTGTGCCCAAAGGTGGAAAGGAAAACACTTGGGCCATGCTTCCCACTGTGGGGGCTAGTCCTCAAAGGGAAATGCAAAGTTGGTTGCTGCTATTAGGTGGCAGTAGAACACTTTCAGCCAAAGTTAGAAGGGCGTGATTTTTTTCCTGAGATAGACTTTTCCACAGCTGCAGGATTGCTAAAACTATCCCTCCCTTCTCCCCTACAGAGAACACTTTGGTATACAATTCCAAGTAAAAGCCTTACCTCTTTTTATGCGCAGTGAGGCAGTCCCAAAGAAAACACATCTACGCTGCTCATCAGATCATCCATGGGGGCACAGAGAGGGTTTTGGCTGATCCGGCACTGCATCGGGAGACATCTGCCAGCAGGATAGAGGGAGATCCTCCTGCTGGGACAGCCAGCACTGCTGCGAGTGGGACAGCTGCTGGACCAGGGGCAGCTGCCACAGTTGCACGTGAACTAGATAAACTTCTGTGCAAAGAAAGCAAGGATCCCACAGCCTCCTAGAGATAGACGATGCGTGAGGTGAGTTTCTCTTCCCCTCCGTGATTTGAGCTCAGAGCATGCTGAAGGTGAGGGAAGCACATTATATCTACTTTTTCAGAGCACCCAGAATGGAAAATCCTCTCTCTCCTTTGGGCTTTCCTTCCTGATGCCTGCCAGCAATGTTGTCCTGGAGCCACTCTGTATACATTTTGGTGTGGCTGCTCCCTCCACTCCCTCCCCAGCTTGCTTTGGACTTCATTAGCTCATTTTCCTCTTCTGATTATTAAGAGAAGCTTGACTGAGAAAGCAGTGTTAGCACTCTTTGTTTGTTTTCCTGGCACAGACCAATAAAAATATGCACCTGGGCTTTTGATGGTACTTCCTTGCATCAATAACATTAAATGAAAAAATACTCCATCAGTGGGAAATTTTCAGTTGAGACCATACACAGTCAAGCATGTCCCACTGATTTCCTTAGTGGTGTTGGGCCAAGTGGCTTCCTGCATTAGCACAGCTATTGATAAAGCATTGGAGGTGAATGAAAACGGTCAGATTTTGCATCATCTTTTCACATAATTAGTCCTTGCATAAAGTGCCTTTGACCTCAGCAGAGTAGTTCCTGCCAAGCAGGCAGTGTCTGGTACTAACAGTTAAGGCTAGGTGATAGCTGAATGACATGGGCATAGAGGGGCTGATGTATTTTCCAGAAATAGTACTCTTTGGACTGACCTCTTGCTTTTTATCATCCCGAAGGAGAACAATTCTTGAAAGAATCTTATTTTTCTTAGAACAGTATTAGTCACTCTGGCTTCCCAGCTCCAGGGGGCCACACAGAAAGGATGCTGGCTTTGCCGTGTTTGCAAGCACGGGGGTGCTCCAGCTGAGTATGTCAGAAAGCAGTAGGCTGCAGACAGGCACAGTACATCTGGTCAGAGAGCTCTCCGGGCTCGCTGAGCTCTTCAGCACTCACCTGTCAAAATTCTCGAGGTCTGTGGCTTTAGCACCTGACAGGTACATTTGCACCAATACCAGTGTCAGATGCACGTTTTGGAGGAGCAGGCACCACACCCAAAATGCTTACTCATTGATAGCCACAGCTTACGCAACAAAGGGCAGTACTAGCCCTCACTGCTAATGGGATAACTGGCTCATCTCTCCCTGCTTCCATCATTTCTCAGTGATGGATCCTTGTGCTGGGTCTGTAAAGTTCAGGTGGGCTCCAGCTAATCCTGACCATGGTGCTGCTCCTACAAAACACAAACCAGCAGCTGGTCAAAAATTCAGGCTCATTAGTGCATTCCTGAAAAAATTTTGCATCAGGTGTTTGTTTTGTGGATTGGGCTGGGGCAGGGTACAGAGAAAGGAATTACAGGGAGGGGAGAGAATACCACTATATTACACTGGGCTGTAAATAACAGCTGGAGAGAGAAAACTGAGAGCTGCACCAAAACATTGCTGGTCTTCAAGTCACTGAACCAGGGACACCAAGGGGCTGGTGAGGTCAGGGAGCCTCTGTAAGTATTGCAACTTCTGGCAGGAGTCAGAGATGGGTGATAAGTTTTGGTTAGGATTCTGTGAGGGTCATCCCATTAGGGACTGTGGATTTGGAACAATTCTCTTGGCACACATAGGTAGTCAGTAAAAGGGAAGGTTGCAAATGCAAAAATATAGAACGAAACACTCCACAGTGTGGGAGGAGAAGCTGTGCAGGGATCGGCTCTGTTGCCTCAGGCCACCTTGGACAAATTTAGCCTAGTTGAAAGGGGGTGGGGGAGTGGATAACATGAATCACAAGATCCAGTGTAATAGGAGAGACATGGAAAACGATGCAGCAGAACAGTAGAACAGGAAGACCGATCCATTGAGGCATTTGCTGTATTTCTGAAGGGATCTGTTGAGATAAACATTCTCTATGTAGCTCATTGTACAATTTGACATGGTTTTAAAAAGTTAAGTATTCCAACAGGTGTGGGAATGGACGGAGGTTTCAGGACTCTGCTCTTCTGTAGGGATGCAGCCCTCTGCATGACAACAAAGGGGGCAGGGGACTCCAGATGCTGTGCACAGGGAGCTATAAATGTTTTGGCTTCTGTTATGATTTAAGGGACACCATCAGAGTAAAGCCATCTTTTCCACATGACATTGCCTAACATGTAAACTGAAGGCCACAGCAGGATTCCTGCAGGAAACTTTCCTGTAGAAACTGCTTTCAATTGTCATGTGTGGGGTTTTTTTTTCAAGCTTTGCAGAATATACTTTGAGAAAGAAAACGAGCACAGTGAGAGGGAATTGGGATCATAAATCAACAGCATAAGAATGCACCATTCCCTCTCCTAGCAGGAGACAGAACAACCCTGGGGAGGAGCCCTACCCAAAACAGACACAGCAGATGCCTCCAGGGCTGCACCAATACAGTGGAAACACAAGGAAATTCAGCTTGTCCGGCTTTTCTTTCACCAGCTGCCCATGGAAAGGGAGCCTGGCTGTGCTGCTCTGCTGGCTTCTGCCTCCTGGCAGGTGGGGGAGACAGGCTGAACCAAACGGGCCTCTGGGGTCACTGCACTGTGAGAATGGTGAAAAATCGGTCTCTTTGCAGTAGATGAATGAATGCAAATTGTCTCAGGGCTTCCCTGCTGGTATGGCTCTTGTGATGTGGAAGGAGGAAATCCTATTATGCTAACTACAGTTCAGCAGAAAGGACTTTCAGTAGGAGAGCTGGAAGCTGGTACACACACCTTTTTCACTGGACATGTACGGTATCTGCATTTCTGTCAACATAAAACCACACCAAGCCCACACTCTCCCACCTCTCCTGTCTCCCTTAAAAGCAACATGACCATCACAAAAGTTGCTGCCATAGACCTGGATGTGGTGCTGTTAAAAGAGTTCCTGCCACTTTCTTAGCACTGCTGTTCTCTCTGTCCCTGGTCTCATAAGCACACAGGATCTGCCTGGTACTTCATTGGGCTCAATTCAGCCCTCACACAAATTCTTTTTTGGGGGTGGGAAGGGGAGATTAAACCTGCAAGTATGGTCCTCACATGCCAAAGGCTTTTAACAAGGTCCAGTTGCACTACTACCAACTACCTCCTCCCAGTCCTCTCTCCCTGCTTCCACCAAAATCCTATTCTTGCAGCTTTCCCTGTGTTTTTATGATTGGTGAATAAGTATCTTCCTGGTACCCCCCAGCCTCCTCACCTCAAAGCCCTCCTGAGTCAGGGTTGGGCTTGGAAGAGGTGCTGTTGTTTCCTATGCCTGCCCTCCACCCCACCAGAGAGGCAGGAATTGGTTTGAACATCTGCCAAAACTGCCAAATCCCTTAGACATAATGTGTAAACCTGGACTAGTAAATTCAGTCTTCCTGGATCCACCCTGGACTAGCTGAACTAGCAAGAAAAGCATCTCAACAGACACTGTTTGCATGAGAAAGAAAATCCCCAAGGGCCAATGGGAAGGGTGTGTGCTGACACCCATGGAGGAGAGGCAGCTCTGGCTCTCTGCTCCAATCATGGAATTCATTCCCCTTTGTTTTTCTTTTTTTCCCACACGCTGTGTCAACCCCATGCACCTTTTCCTCCACCTCTCATGGCTGGAGTCCAGGCCACTTCTCTTGGCCTCTTCCCATGCGCCACATCCCAATACTTCATGTAGCACTCGGAAAGGATGTCCTGTTCCCATTTCCTTCCTGGGCTGCTTACCTGTATCCACATGTGTTGCCTGGCTCAGCACACCATCCCCAACAGACCCGAGAGCTGTGACTGCTCTGCAAACACTCACCGTTGTGGCTGCCCACTTGTCTGTAGCTGGTTGGACCCTTTGCACAGCCTGGCCGGCTGAGATTTATCACAACCAGTTTCCCCCAGTTGGGAACTTTCATGGTGACCTGCACTCCTTGCCTGTCCTGGAGCTCCTCAGTCAGTGCTGGGCATGGGACTGTTGGTCCTTTTCCGTGAGGCAGTGGCTGGAAGGATGTGGCGCTACCTTGATGCAAATCGCAGTGAGCGAGCGGCAGCTGCGCAGCAAGGACCCGATGCTACTGCTCCTGGTGACAACGTCACCACTGAGCGTGAGCAGCACCAGTGCCCTGAATACAGATGCAGAAAGAAACCTGAAATATTTAACCAGTGCTTTTATGTAGCCCCTGAACTGGGAATGCACTGCACCTTCTCCTAAATACCCTTCTCGGCCAGTGGCCTCTCGCTCACCCTTTGACGTCACAAGCATTTGGAAAGCAGCTGCTCCCACCAGCATTCCAAGAGACTGAAAAGCTGCATTTGCTTCTCTCTCCTTAAGTTGCTGCAGGATTGATCCTAAGAAAGAATCTCCCTTTTGTTTATTACTGAGCCAGTCATAGCCAACCCTTCCCTGTAAAGCCTCCTGAAAACACCATGTTGATTCCTTACCTGTTAAAGCCTTTCCCCACCTGCCAATGTAATTTTTCTGCCTCCAGCCAAATGCAAACCATTTTTATTGCTGTCTGGGCCCCAAATCTGTGGTCTCCAGCAGAAACAGCTTCCACTGACCAACCTGTTCCTAGGCCTGGTGCTATGAGACAAAAATCTTAAAAGAGGAATGAGGTGTAACTGAGATTGTCCAAAGACTTCTCAGTTGGAGTATTCACCCAGTATTCCCTTTTCCGAAGGCTGGTCACAAACATCAGCATCCAAAACAACTCTCATTGAGTAAAAATGCTCTCAAAACAACCTGGGTTTTGCCAGTAAGCACCAACTTCCTCCTGAACACTCTGGCCTGGCAAAGGTTTTCGTTACAGGAATGAGCTGCAAAAGAGATGAGAAGGAGGAAGAGGAGGTCATGGCTGCTGTTATGCAGTAGCAAACAATCATAGAATTGTTAAGGTTGGAAAGGACCTCTAGGGTCCCCAAGTGCAACCATTAACCCAGCACTGCCAAGCCCATCACTAGTGTCCCCAAGTGCTACATCTACATGTCTTTTAAATACTGCCAGGGATGGTGGGTGACTCCACCACTTCCCTGGGTAGCCTGTTCCAGGGCTTGATAACCACTTCCATGAAGAATTTTTTACCTAATACCTGATCTAAACTTCTCCTGGTGCAACTTGAGGCCGTTTCCTCTTGTGCTGTTGCTTGTTACCTGGGGGAAGAGACTGACCCCCACCCCTCACTACAACCTCCTTTCTGGTAGTTGTAGAGGGCAGTAATGAGGGAGCTGATGGGCTGGTGAGAGCAGGGTGAATACCTCTTGCTCCCTCTCAAGCTCACATGCTGTTCCCACTGCACACATGACCCCACCTCACTCCCTGCAGCCCCAGCCTCCCTCTGGCAAGACCTGTCGGGCGTCTGGACCCTGTGACCGCTCAGCACTTGGAGGTGGTGTAAAGCACAGGGAGTTCAAGCAGCA